ACAGAAATCATGGGATCAAGAGACAAAAAGCTGCTTCAGAAAACTCTGGGGCACTTTAAAACTGAGTTAGTACTTTCCATTCTCATGCAAACTCCACCAGAGATTTTCAAATATATCTTGGATGTGTGTGTGTGTGTGCGCACACGCGTGCACGCTCGTGCATGCATGAGCCAAGGCTCTACTTTCAGCTTATTTTTGTCAGTAAATTAGAGATAAGAGCCTCATGGACTTTCCTACCTGGACTGGCTTTGAACCACAATCCTCAGATCTCAGCCTCCTGAGTAGCTAGGATTACAGGTATGAGCCACTGGCACCCGACTAGGTTTTCGTCCGTTTGTATCTTTTTGGTGCCAGTCCTGAGGCTTAAACTCAGAGTCTGAGCTTGCTAGGCAAGAGGACAGTTACTTAAGTCTTTGTTTTTTCTTTTTTCAGATAGGGTCTTCTATTTTTGCCAGAGGCTGGCCTCAGATCTCCATCCTTCTTCCTAAGGCCTCCCACATAGGTGGAATGACAGGTGTGAGCAACCATACGAGCTTGTTGGTTGAGATGGGGATCTTACTAACTTTTGGACCCTCTGGCCTTAAACAATAATTTTCCCAATCTCTGCTGTGATTATAGAGAAAAGCTACTCTTCTAGGGCGTTTTTTGTCTTTTTTATATTTTAAGCTTCTTAATGTCTTCTCTGCCACTAAAAACACCAAACACACATATACCCCTGGATTTTCTTTGTCAAGCAAAGGTTCTAAGCCCCATGGTAGACTGACTAAAAGGCCACAAACAACAAGAAAAATAAAAGAACAAGTCCTATCATGTACAACCAGCAAGAGTTTTATCATTTACCTGAGAAAATAAATTTGGCTTTCAAATTTTCAATTTTTGTTTTCTTTCCCCACATAGAGAAAGAAAGGAAGTTTCCCCTAAGCAATCCAGAAATAGCTAGCTAGGAATGAAATTCTGAGAGTGTCACATTAAGAAAAAATTGTCATCAGATACCATGCCTTCATGGTCAAACAACTCTGTTATTAGAGCCTTGGCCATAAAGCCTGACAGTGGATCTGAACACTTGCCTCCTTTAAGAGGAAAGGGAGATAACAGACATGGAAACATGAGGGGCTGGGAAGGTGGCTCAGTGGTAGAGCGCTTGCCTTGCATGCCTGAGGCCCTGGGTTCGATTCCTCAGCACCACATAAGCACAAAAAGAAAACAGCTGGAAGTGGTGCTGTGGCTCAAGTGGTAGAGCACTAGCCTTGAGCTGAAGAGCTGAGGGACAGTGCCCAGGCCCAAAGTTCAGGCCCACGACCGGACCCCCCCCCCAAAAAAAAAGAAATGGAAACATGAATTTACAAGTTTGGACCAAAAAATTTTTAAATGAGGGGAAAGAAATTCTCAATCTGTCTATGTGTTGCTCCTAGCAGTGTCACAACTTAGAGAAAAGAACAAAAGCCGGGCAGTACACAGATGGGCATAGTCTTTCTCCTGGGAGAAGAGTCTTTCTCTGGTCCCAGAGCTCCTTCAGGTGGCATCAAGTCCCTAGGCCCCCTGTTGCAGGACATCCATCTTCTACATCTTATGAAAACAATCCCATTATGGAATAAATCTTTAAATCAGTATTTCAACTTAATTTCAACTGCCAAACAAGAGCACTTCTAGCTGGGTGCTGGTGGCTCATGCTTGTAATCCTAGCTACTCAGGAGCTACTCAGGTAGGACATCTGAGGATCACAGTTCGAAGCCAGCCTGGGTAGGGAAAAATCTGGGAGATTCTTATTGCCAATGAACTATCAACAAGCCAGAAGTGGAGCTGAAGTTCAAGTGGTAGAGTGCTAGCCTTGAACAAAAAAGCTCATAGAAAGTTTCTAGTCCTAAGTTCAAGCCCCAAGACCAGCACGTGTGCGTGCACACACACACACACACACACACACACACACAAAGCACTTCTACCTCAGTCTGTCCTTGGGAGGATTCCCAGAAGATCTTGCTGTTATATAGGTCATAAATGATTACTTCCCAGACTAATTGATCTGGTTCCCTCAGCTGTTACACTAGATCCTGGGAATCCTCACAGCAGTTTCTAAGGTCTGGCCACCTTGGGGGTATTGTCAGAAAACAAGTATCAGGCCCCAGCTGATGCAGAACTCTGGACCCAAGGCCCCCTCCCTTAGTATGAAGACATACATTAGCACAGGTCCGGTCCACCAATGCCTGCCTAGGCTTTCCTACTCTTTCCAAACATACAAAGGTAACTGAAGGGGATTAGGCTTTTGCAGACGAAGCAAGGTGTTTTGCGGAACACTTCTACTTTCAGCCTGCCACATAACTCCCCTGCTAGAGGGAAAGGGGGAATGATCTTTTGTTTTTGTTAGAGAGATGGGAGATCCCATATCTGTAGCTCAAAATGTTGCCCTAACTCAGTAAGTTTGCTCAACAACAGTGTCTTAGAACGTGAATGTTAGCCCATCAGCTGCAATGCACATTGATGAACTAAGCAACTCAAAAGCAGCGATGGGAAGGAGGGAATGAGTGGAAAAAAGGGAACAGTTTACGCTAAGCAAAAGGGAAAAAATATATATATCACTCAATTTGGCAAAAAATTGTGTATTGTCAAAGTTTGTAGAGTTCATAGCTTTATAGACCATGATAATGACAATTCGCCTAGTGAAGGTTAAAATGTGTGTGTGAGACCAGGTAAGTATCATTATCTCACAATACTGTGAAATTTATGTAATCATTTAATCTCAATAATGAAATAAAAAATGAACTTGGGAGAGAAAAGGTGACATTGTCCAAAAAGAAATGTACACTTTGCCTGAATTATGTAACTGTAATTCCTCTGTACATCACCTTTATAATAACAATTTAAAAATTAAAAAAAAACATTTTAAAAGCCAGACATCGGCGGCTGACGCCTGTAATGCTAGCTACTCAAGAGGCTGAGATCTGAGGATCATGGTTCAAAGCCAGCAGGAAAGTCCATGAGACTCTTATCTCCCATAAACCACTAAGAAAACTAGAAGTGGCACTGTGGCTCAGTGGTAGAGTGCTCGCCTTGAAGAGCTGAGGGATAGTGCCCAGGCCCAGAGTTCAAGCCCCATGTCTGACATAAATAAATTAGTTAATTAAAAAATAGATACTGCAAGTTGAAAAAAATGTGAATGTTAAACCAGAAGTCTGAGCGTTGTACATACACACAAACTTACAAAATCTGATACCATACGCTTAGCAAATCCAATTCAGTTAGTTGCAAATAAAAATTCCCTAAGTTCTCATGAAAATGATTGAATAAACCTTACAGGAACTGCCCTTGACTTTTCTAGCTTTATTCTCTTCCTTGCCTGTGGAAATCTCTTTGACCTCACAGTATATTTGTATGATCTTCCAGCAGCCTTACTTCCTAACTCCAGAACTGTGCCTCTGAGCTAAAGACCACAAGACAGCAAAACCTGGGCACCTCATTTTCACCTCATACTCCCAATCAGTTTCCTCTGTATACATTTCATTCTTCCTACCATATCTTTGCATCTCTATCAGTTCTCTGTGCTTGCCTTCAGCAAGTCTTTCTGAGTCCAACAGAGCTATTTTACCCCTTTCTATATTAATACTAGTGATTAAAAATAGAATAAAAGCCAAACACCAGTGGCTTCCACCTGTAATTCTAGCTACCCAGGAGGCTGAGAACTGAGGATCACAGTTCGTAACCAGTCAGGGCAGGCCAGCAGAGGCAGGACAGTCCTGAGAGAAATCAGCTTCAATTAGCCAGCAAAAAAATGGAAGTGGAGATGTGGCTCGAGAGGTAAGAGTGCTGGGCTTGAGCAAAAAGGCTCAGGGACATCACAAATCCAGGAATTAAAACCCCACTGAGGGCTGTCTGTCTGTCTGTCTCTCTGTCTCTGACACACACACACACACACACACACACACACACACACACTAAGCTGGGCCAGGTAGCTCATGTCTATAACCCTAGCTACTCAGGAGTCTGGGATGTGAAGGATCCAGCAGTAAAGCTATAAACTCTTATGTCCAAAATAAGCAGCAAAAAGCCAGGCTGGAGGCGTGGCTCAAGCCCGCCTACTAAGTGTGAGGCCCTGAGTTCAAACTCTAGTACCCTCAGTTATTTCTTAACGGACTAAACGTGTTTGCCTATCGGCTCACGACTATCAAGCAACAATTAGAACGTGGCAAATTCAGGGCCACAAAACCGACACCGCTTGTGAAGTTACCGACACTGGGCAGACACAAGCGTGCCCCGCTGTGGTGAGACTCAGCCTGGTGTCTGACCCCAGCTCACAGCAGGTGTGAGGAGGGGGAGGGGGGGTCACGGTCTGGAGGCGAGACTGCCGGAAGTGACCGGGAAAACGGAGAGAAGAGGCTCCGACCTCCCCGCGCACACCGGCCGCGGAAGGGCAGGAGACAGATGGGCTTCGCGGCTCCGACTTCCCCTCAGAACCCGCGACCGAGAGCTGCGCGGCTCCCGGTTCTCTCATCCACAACTCTCCATCCCTACCGGAGCCCGCCGGAGTCCGGCCCGCCCTCTCCGGCAGTCCCAATCCCCAGGCTGGGGAGCTCGTCCAGCGGCGCACCGGCTCCGACCCGTCACCTCCGCCAGGCGGTGCGCACACACGCAGCACCAGCTGCACCACCTCAGCGAGCCTCGGTGCAACGTCAGTGAGGGAACACGCGACTCGCCAGCCGTCCCCGCGCCGGGCCCGCGCCAGCGCCGGGAGGACGCGCCCTCCCACGCCCCAACTCCTCGCACGACTGGGAGCTAGAGCCTCGAGCACCGAAGGCCGAGGACTGGGAAGACGCGGCCTCTCATAGGTCAGAACGACGCAAGGAGGCGGGGGATTCCTCGCAGAAACTGGCTATCTATTGGTGGATCTTCCTCGCTGAGAGCTGGGATTGGCTACTGAGGTTCGCCGGCGCGGGAGGCGGGAGAAGGGCGGGTCAAAGGCGTGGTCGCAGCCCGACCCCGCCCCACGCATTCTGGGCGCCGGCGGGAGGTCGGCGTTTGTACTCCGGGACTTCTTCCCCTTCATTCCCCCCGACCCCCGCGCCGCCCCCGACTTGGCCCGCCGCATGGGGCTGCTGGGGTCGCTCCGGACCCGCGGAGTCTCGAGGTGGGGTAGGTAGAAAGCGACCCGCGCGTGTGTGTCGGGGCGCTGGGGCCCTGACCGCTCCCACGCGCACGGCTCGGGCCCCTTCTGCCCCGCGGCTGCTCCGGGACGGTCCGTGAGGCCCGGGGACGGGAGGGCACAAAGGAGGCTCCCTGCGGGCCTCCATCTTGCCTGCGTGACGGAGCCTCGGCGTGGGCTGTGTGTGCCGGGGACGGGCCGGGAACGACCCGCGGGGGCCTGCGGAGCGAGCGCGTGTTCAGGCGTCTGGCAGCCGCGCAGGCGCGCTGCGCGCGGCCCCCCGCGGGACCGGGGGTTCGGGCCCCTCGCGGCCTCGGCCGGGTGTGTGCTGTTGGCCCGCCCTCCGATCGGGGTGAAAAATCTCCCTGGAAAACGCGGCGAATGACGCCTTCTGGGCACCACGGACGCCTCGAAGAAAGGAAAGCAAAATGTCTCACTTTTTTTTCCCTTCTTTTTCCTACCATTTCCAACTGTCATTGCTCTCCGTGCCTTCTCAGCCCTGAGGCGCGTGCTCAGAACCCGATGAGGCCCTTCAGGATGACTAGATTGGGTTCAGGGTATTTGTGATTTAAAAAAAAAAAAAGGCGGAAACTTGCCCTTCCCCGGGCCGATTGGACCCCCCTGGGAATGCACTGCACCCCAACACCCCTCAAACCTCGACAGAGGATATTGGGTTCGTTTGCCTTGGATTTGGTTGGAATAAAACACAAGCCCTCGCTTTTCACCTCTTTGCCAGCTCCATTCCCCTTCCCGCCATCTGGGTCAATTCAGTCTATTAAAGAGCATCACTTAAGTTTCCTGTGTTCTGGAAAGTGTTTTTAAAAAAGTTTTTCCCCACCCCATAACTGATCATCAGTGCCCCACCTGTGGGCTGCCTTTTGTAGTCTCAGTTTTTATCCATCCAGCTGTGTGGCTTCCCCAACCCCTAGTTGGTGGAAGGCTTTGGGAGGGAAGGAAGCCAAAAGAAAACAAAAACACCAGTGTAACCAAAAGCTTGGCAAATGAAGAGCTTTTATGCCTTTTAACTTGTTGGGCTTGTTCTTATAGTTTAAAGAGGCAGCTGAGATCAGGCTGAGCCCAATCAGATGTGACCTGTGCCACATCTGTAAATGGTTGTTACTTACCTGTACCTCGGTTGTCACATTTGTAAAATGGCCTGGCTTCAGCCTCCAGCACCACAAAAAAAGGGAGAAGGAGAATAGTGATAGAGCCTATTTTATTGGTTAGGAGGAATTTTATAAGATACTGGTATAAAATGTCCTGGATAGCCACACACCACCCTCATGCCTGTAATCTAGCTATTTAGGAAGCTGAAATCTAAGGATTGTAGTTTGAAGCCAGCCTGGAAAAGAAAATTGGGGAGACTCTGTTATCTAATTAATCAACAAAAAAGCTGGAAGTGGAGCTGTGGCTCAAATGGTAGCACTCTAGCCTCAAGCAGAACAGCTCAGGGACAGTGCCCAGACCCTGAGTTCAAGCTCCAGAACTGGCAAAAATAAATAAATAAAGCCGGGGATAAAAATAGTCAGATACTTGAAAAGCTTTAAATATCTGGATAGTGTTTCACCTTTCAGGGTCTTTTGACTTTGGGGCTGTACCTGTTCCCTGCTTTAAAAAAGAAAACGATACCTCTCTGATTTCTGAAACATTTTCTGATTTGTCTCCTCCCAGTAAAAAGATTCATTCATGCTACTAGTTTTACCACCAATTAGTGACACAGAACAATTTGTCCAAGTTTTACAGTGGGATTTTATATGGGCGGTTTTGTTGTTGTTGTTGTTGTTTGAGACAAGGTCTCTCTATGTAGTCCAGTCTAAGTGCTGGGATTTCAGTTGTACACTACCACACTTGAACTTGAAGCATCATGCTTTATGTACTCTTATTGTGATCAGTTACTTGAATGATCGTGTAACAGCAGAGGAGAGAAACTGATGGGGCCTGGTTGTGTCTGACAAGAAGTCTTTGGGAGGCAGGAGAAAAAAAAAAAACTTTAGAGAAAAGCTGAGCTTGTGGCAGTAAACTTTGGCTCTTTTCTTTATGTAACTGAATCTATTCTCATGGAGAAACTGTCTCCTATCTTTAAAGTCACTCACAGACTTGTGAAAAGTGTTGGCTTTAGAGCTGCCTGTTAGATGTAAGACCTGGGGATGCAGCCTCAGTGCCTTGGTGTACTTGTGCTACTTCTGGTTACAGGAAATAGGGAGAAGCATGTATTTCCTTCCAGCTGTAAGCCCCCTTGACATGTCTGCCTCTCTTTATATTATGTGAAATCTCCAAAACAATTTCCTTTCCCTCTCTTCACTAGTAAGCCACAGGAGAAATTCAGGGATCCCATTCAGTTTTTAACACTGCCAGAATGAATCTTGAGTCCTTTCAATGGAATACTGTTATTTTGGGGATTCCCTTCCAGCTGTGACATTTTGCAATTAGCCATTTAAAATGGCTACCAAATACACCAAGCCTCACAAGGTGCAAGCTTTTTCAGGTATCTTGTAAAAGCAATAACTTCCCTTGTGTGCCTGTAGTGACAAGTGGTCAGTGAATAGTTATAAATTTGTCATAGTTGTGCTGAAACAGTTCCACTTACCAGGTATTTGTGTTATTGTAATTGTTATTTTGATAGTTTGGGGTTTGAACTCAAGGCCATGTACTTGTTAGGCAAGTGCTCTACTGCTTGAGCCTTGCCCCAAGCCCTCCAATCAGGTAGTTTCTGAAACTCCGGCCAGTCATCCAGAAATACGATATGGCTAAGATTGCAGGTTCAGATTCCAAGGCTCTGGGTGTATCAAAGTCTGCATCCTCAACAGGTTCTGAAGTGCTGTGGTGCTGTTAGATCACACTTTATTTCCTTTTCTCAGTTATTAGACTCAGTTACTGGCCTCAAGCTAGTAATCATCTGAGTGTGCCAATTAGAGACATGCGGCACCAGCGTGGCTTAGATCACACTTTTGAATAAATCAAGTACTTAGCAAAACATCTACATTTTCTTTTGTCTGTTTCTTTAAAGATATTGGTTTTGTCTTGCATTTCTAGAGTCACACTACACCCCATTAAATGTGATAGATTCCTTCTACATTTAATTTTTTAAAGTAATGATAAATAGGCTTATTATATCATTTATTTTTGGTACGGGGATTAAACCTAGGGCCTTGTGCATGATAAACATGTACTGTACTACTGAGCTACATCTCCATTGTTTTCTTATAGTATTTAAATACTAAGTTTCCCAGGCTAGCCTCAAATTCTGAATCCTAATCTCTCAAGTGCTAGAATTATAGATGTATACCACCATGGAACCAAGAGGAAAAATTTGTATTAGTTCGGTTACTATATTTAAAGTAAAAACTAGCTGCTCATGGGCTGGGAAGGTGGCTCATGCCTTGCATGCCTGAGGCCCTGGGTTCAATTCCTCAGCACCACATAAGCAAAAAGAAAAAAGCCGGAAGTGGCGCTGTGGCTCAAGTGGTAGAGCCTTGAGCTGAAGAGCTGAGGGACAGCGCCCAGGCCCAGAGTTCAGGCCCCACGACTGGACCAAAAAAAAAAAACAAACTAGCTGCTCAGTAGAAACAGCTGTTTTGGTTAAGGAGACTGGAGAATTATCCCCCATAGGTTCTCCAAAAATGGTGCTATGTACTATAAGTGCATTTTTAATATTATCTAGTGGCAAACCATAAGATTCTTAGCTGTCCTTGCATGTGTCATGTGTATTCTGATAGCCTCCCAGAGAACCTTCAGTCCAGTTGAAGCACTGCCTAGGAGCTATGACCCTGTGGTCTCCATACAGCTTTGTGTTATAGGAAAGCTACTTTTAGCTTTGCTGTTTGGTGGGAAAACTTTAAAAACAAAACACTAAAACCGTGTTTGATCCTCAGCATCCTGGCCTTTGTGCTTTGTTGGCCGGGGACAGCCTGTAGGCTGTCGGGCAGAGGGGTGGCTGGGAACTCAGTCCAGCTCCTCAAAGATGTGGTTGATGTATGTCCCGAAGCTGTGTGCAGACCCTTGACAATAGGGTGACACTGTTGGGGTGGGAGTGGGGGTTTCACAGGAGCCCGTGGCCTGGGGGCAGGAGGGGTGCTCCTTCATTCTATAGACTTTATAAAAATTTTAAAGAAGCAGCCCAAGGGGCGGGCAGGGGGCACACTAGGCTTTGGTTCATTTCCAAGCCTCAGGAAGTAGCTTTGCACCTGTTTCCTTTTCTGTGCTTTGATTTCATCTGCAGGAAAGGATTTTAAGCCAATCTGGAGGCTCCAGTCCTGGGGCTCCAGGAACATTCTGCAGCCACATCTGGTCTGGCCTCTAACATGAAAATTCTTTTTCCCACAAATCTAGTGCCCCTAGAAACGTGCAGCAACCTGCACTGCTGAATGCCACTGTCTCCTCTATTTTCTAGCCTGGCTTCCGTGTTTGTGCTCGTGAGGGATGAGCAGCATACAGAGCCGCTTTGTCTGCCTTACTACTTTCTGCCGCTGTGTATTCATGGCATTTATCTGGATACCTGAGGCTCCTGTGAAGACAAGAGCCACAGTTTGGTCACAAAAATGGTAGCGCCTACTCGGTGGAACATGTGACATCTTCACCAGCACAGGTGGCCCTCTGTAAGCTTGCGTGGAGGGGCAGCCCTTGCTGGACTGGAACCTGTGAGGCACAGTTGAGATGAATAAGATGATCCCATGAGTAAAGAATCCCAGGAGTCACTGACTGCACAGAGGACAGTTACTCCTTAATCCATTCTTCATCATTTGAATGCTTTAGTCACGAATGGACTAACGCTCCTCCCCAAATTCCCAGTCCTCCTTCCTCCACTCTAGCCAGGAGTGAGTCGGCAGAAGCTAGACAGCTGTGCCAAGCAGTGCTGCCCAAGGCTGATACTGTGGATAGAGAAGGGGCGAATGTCCAGTGAAGTTACCACATACCTGCTGCTGAGTATATTTTTCCTGTGGGGCAAGAGTAAGCCAGGCTTCTATCTCTCCTAATTATATCTGGTGGGTCACACAGCCTCTTCAGGTCTTGGGAACTAGTGGAGAAATTTAACAGCAAGCCCAGATGGTCCCTGGTTTATCCTGAAGTGTGTATGGACTCACTTGGTTTGGACAACAACAGGACATTTCTTGTATGTGCAGCAAAGTGGGATTCATTGTTCAGTGTCTATTTTCCGATGTCTTCTGTCAGTTTAACTTCCTGGTACTCTTCTGAGGCCTCTGCCCCATTGTAGAGCTGCTAGTGTCCAGGAACCCTGGAAGGTGTGACCTGAGAACACTGAAGCCCACATCAGAAGATGCGTTAGAACAGATGACATAGGAGGCAGTACTGGTCCAGCACAGTTGACTGTGTTCATCTGTGTGCAGTCAGATGGGCTGCTCTGAATGGGCTGTCATTCCTCTCATGGGAGGATCTATACAAAGCACTCAACTGCATCCTGTTCCCAGAGGGCTAGAGGAATGGTGTGAAAGGTCTAGAATCATACACAGGTGGACTTGGTTAACAGTTGCTGCTCCAAGGATTTTTTCCTGGATCATCTCTATCCTTCATTTCTTCCTTCTGTTGATTTAGTAGCATGTTACATATAGTTTAGAAGACATTGGCAAAGACTTGGATTTATTTTTTCACCTGTATCTACCTTAGTTTCCATGCATAAACTGTATCATGCAGGGTGTAAAACACAGTTTATAAAGCAGGTTAAAAGTAAAATTGTCAAAAGCCTCCTTTTCCAGACTGGGAGAACTACCATATTCTCTCTTTAGAAGTGCACTTCCATGACTCTTCAGAGCTTCATACACTGTTAATCTCATTCAGATTAGACCTTGGAAGTGTCTTCTGAACAGTTTACACCTGGATAAGTGGGTGGATACCTGCTTTTTGAATAAATAAGGTCCAGAAACAAAAAAGCTTTATTAAATGATTTGCATACATGCAACCACTTGCCCAGTTTCATCTTATTCCAGCCATCTACTGATTAGCAGGACAGGGCAGCTCTGGCTCTACTGAGTTTTTAGAAGCAGAGTAGAAAGTCATAATTGGGACTTGGTAGGTAATAGATTTAGCCTTCACCCTAATTTCTCCAGCTTGGACCCACAGCTCACCAGTAATGTCTCCATGTGCAGTTTCTTAAAGGGGCCACTAGGTGATGATGTGACTCCATGAAAATCTGTGTCAGCAGGACATAGTCAATCTTGTTTGTCTCTTCACCAGTCTTCTTTCTCTTTTACTTTGTGTGTTTTTCTCTATTGTCACTTGGTCCCTAGTTGGTTCATAAAGAGCGTGGGTGCTGGAATCAGCCTGGACTTGATTCCCAACGTAGGGTTTCCTTCTGAAGCGAGGGTAAGTGGCCCTGCCTCTGGGGTGCAAATGCACACTGATAGCATCCAGAGGCCACTGGCTGCATGAGTTCTGGCTGATTATGCTGTGGATATCTAACACATATGCAACTAATCATCATACTATTAGGTATCATTGCAAAAGGTTGGAAGTACTTCAGATACCCATTAACACAGGATTAGTACAGTGAAACTGAGTGCCTCCTTGTATCACTGAGCAGCAACAAAAAAGAATACACTAGTCAGATGTGGGGCACACAACTATAGTCTGCGCTATGCTAGAGACACAGGCAGGAAGATGATGGTCTGAGGCTGGTGCTAGACAAGACATGTTGTCAACATTGCTGGGGGAGGGGGGGGTAGTGATGAGGGAGGAACAACACTAAAGCTGGAGTTCTAAAAAGTAGGAGGTGACTAGATATAAAATGGGGCTAGAGTGGAGCACCAGTGTCTCACGTCCATAATCATAGCTATTCAGGAGGCTGAGATCTGAGGTTTGCAGTTCAAAGCCACCTGGAAGCTGGGCATCAGTATAATCCTAGCTACTTAGGAGGCTGAGATCTGAGGATCGCGGTTAAAAGCCAGCCCGCGCAGGAAAGTTCATGAGACTCTTATCTCCAATAAACCTCTAGAAAACCAGAAGTGGTGCTGTGGCGCAAGCGGTAGAGCACTCGCCTTTAGCTGAAGAGCACAAGGACAGTGCCCAAACCCAGAGTTCAAGCCCCAGGACCGACAAAAAAAAAAAAAAAAAGCCAGCCTGGACAGGAAAGTCTGGGAGACTCATCTCCAATTAACCACCAGAAAACTGGAAGTGGCACTGTGGCTGAAGTGTTAGAGTGCTCGCCTTGAGCTGAAGAGCTCAGGGATGGCACCCAGGCCCAAAGTTCAAGCCCCACAATGGACAAAAAAAGCCGGGGGGGAGGGGAGGGAGGGTGCCTAGAGGTATGACTCAAGTGATAAGAGTGCTTGCCTAGCAAGTACAAGGCCTTGAGTTCAAACCCCACTACCACCAAAAACAATAAAAAAGGTTTTGAACAGCATGTCCTGCACTGTTGGCCACCTTTAAGTAAAAGGTGGTTTGAAGATGAAATACTCATGTTTCATCTTAAGACAGCAGAAACTAATACTGCTTACATGTGCTTGTGGCAATATCTAGTAGTATATATATTGCCGGATTTACGTGAAAAGCTTGTTGCTGTTTCCCCTTCTATATGGCTTCTTTGTTCCATGCTTGTAAGATAACCTGTTCACACTGATTGTGGCAATGCCCCCACAACACTAACAGCTGGCACTGGGTACTGTAGTGCCAGACATTGTCAGGAGTGTTCTGCCCATACCAGCTTACTTTATGGAAGAATGAGACTAGGACAGAGGGAGACTTGAGTCTACAAATTTGTTTTAAACCTGAGCCATGAATTAACTATCAAAAAATTATTTTCTGGCTGGGCGCCAGTGGCTCACTTCTGTAATCCTAGCTACTCGGGAGGCTGAGATCTGAGGATCACAGTTCAAAGATAGCCTGGGCAGGAAAGTCTGTGAGACTCTATTAACCACCAGAAAAACAGAAATAGCACTGTGGCTCAAGTGGTAGAGCGTTCACCTTGAGCTGAAATGCTCAGGGCCAGCACCCAGGCCCAGAATTCAAGCCCCACAGCCGACACACTCCCCCCGTGTGTGTGTGTGTGTGTGTGTGTGTGTGTGTGTGTGTGTGTGTGTGTATTCCCCCCTCCCCCAACCAGCTCCTGCACGTGTGGTTGTGAGAATGGTGAGAGTGAAATGAGGATACATGTACAGTGCATGCTTTAAATTAGGAACTAGGTCACTTTTGATTGTGCCCTGGCCAGGCAGGGTAGGACTCATGCATTTGCTAAGGAGTGGTCTCAGCGTAGGCTGAGCCCATCAGATTGCATTTCCTGGAATTAAAGCTGAGCAGGAAGCAGGATAAGCCTGCAATACCACCCCCTCCCTGACAGGTTCCCCCACTGCCTCCTTTTCTATGCCTCTCCTCTGTTCTCTGAAGAAATGAAGCTATTTCTGTGCAAGTCTGAGCTTTGAGGTTGGCCCAGCGATACTGTAGGTGGCTGCTGACATCTTGGGTGCTCACAGCTCCTCACATTCCCTTCTAAGTCCTCTAAGCTGGTTTTCCTCCTGTTTCTTGGCCTAGCTTTCCTTCCTTCAGTGCCTCTACAGCAGCCTTGGCTAACTGATTATGCCAAAGATGGCCTCCCTCTGTTGTCCTGGAGCTCTTCCTACTCACAGATACAGCTCTTCTTTTCCTCCTTTGCATATTTGCCCTGTACTCTGTGCCTGTGCAGCTTTCTCCCCTTCTCTCCTATGAACTTACTCTTGTGAAATCCACCTGGCTTTTCATAGCCCTTTCCATGGCTTCCCTCAGCTACCATTGGTAACATAAGCCAAGCTAGCGCGAAGAAGGGCACTGATTTCTCTTGAGTCACTAACCATGCTTGGAATGAGACCACCCAGTTCACAGCCTACTTATGGTTCAGTGTTCTGAAAGGATCTGCCTCCTCTGCCAGGCAGACTCAAGCATTGTGAGAAAAACACTTCTTAGGCCTATTGGAGGCACAGGCATGTCCTGACTTGCTATCCTCTAGAGCAGGAAGGAGAGAGGCCAGGTTCTAGCCATTTGCCATCAGGCTGTTGTGACAACAGAACCACTACAGGGCTGCTCACAGGGAGAATCCAGATGGATCTCTTCCCTACTGAGCTTGGGTCCCTGGGACTACATGAAGCAGGACCCAAGCTTGGCTCTGAATTAGACCTGTGAAGGATGAGTGTTGAGGCAGCTGACTTCCTATTTTACCTTACTTAACCTTGGCTTTCCACAGTAACCATATGAAATATGCAATATGCTTTCTTTCCTTGCCATGAGGGTTTTCCATTAAGTAATGTCAGAAGCTGCAGGGGGCCGACAGAGGAAGAGCAGGAGGAAATACTGGTATTTGTTCTGAGATTACAGAACTGAAAAGCGTTTCATGACTTGGTGATTAGGATCAATTCATCTGTAAGTTGCCCACCAGTCTGAGATCACCCATTTCCTATATGAATGGGCCCCAAGTCAGCCTGGCAAGATAGCTTTTTAGGACCAGACCGCCCTCCATCTTCTGATCAGCTAGGTGCTCAGACGATATCTACTACTGCTTTGTCTCTCCACCTATTGGCTTCTATTGTGTGGCAAGTAAACCAAGCCTTTGAGGTCACACCTATACTAACCCTATTGTGGGATGGTACGCCACTAGAAAAGCAGAGGACAAAATGGCACACATCCCCTTTTGGAAGGGTTCAGGCTAAGGAGGCCAAATAATCACCTTTTCTAAATTTTTATTGTTAACTTTTTTTTTTTTTTGTCAGTTGTGGGGCCTGAACTCTGGCTCTGGGCGCTGTCCCTCAGCTCTTGAGCTCAAGGCAAGCGCTCTACCACTTGAACCACAGCACCACTTCTGACTTTTTCTGCTTATGTGGTGCTGAGGAATCGAACCCAGAGCCTCATGCATGCAAGGCAAGCACTCTACCACTGAGCCACCTTCCCAGCCCCTTTTCTAAGTTTTTATTTGGCCATAAATACTTGCTTTCATCAATAAGGTTACTTGGAAACAGATGTTAAAAGTCTATGTTTTTCTCTTCTCCTGTAGGGAGCTGAAGGTTTAAGCAAGCCCTGACCTAAGGACAGCCCAATGGCACTAGGTGAAGAAGACACAGAGGTGGAGGCATCTGTGGACACGAAGGCCCAGTCTTATGGGAGGCTGAGCTGCAGGGAGCGAGAGCTGCCACCCCAAGGCCCTCAGCCAGAGCGGCTCCCACACCTGGAAGCTGGTGGAGGGCCTGCCTCCTCTGAATGGGGAGCTGAGGCTGGCAGTGTCCCTGGAACTTACCTGCCACAGGCCAACAGAGAGCCAGTGGTGAACAGGTATAAGCCTTCCCTTGGCAGCCTGCTTCCTCCTGGCAGCATGGGGACTGGAGACCTTTTACCCTCTGTGGGAAGCCAGGTAGGTACTACGGCAGTTGGGGACTATGGTCGACCACTGCCATCCTTTGAGTGTGTGTGTGCTAGCATTTCCTCACCATCTTACATCCTTCCCCAGCCACTATGCAGGGTGGGGAATTGAGAAAGTTGTGCCTTGGGGTCAGTTGGGGTTGAGGGGGGAGGGAGTCTGTCTATGGTATCTCCTGTTCTTCAGGAGACCATGGTCCAAAAGGCTAGACTCTCTACAAGGGAAGCACCATCCCACTTCTGACTTGGTGATCTAAAGGCTTTGGTGACTTCTGAGGAGACTTGGGAAAGGAGGGGGGCTGTAGGCTTGTGAAGACTCTGAAACTTGACCTTGCAGCCCCGTAGCAGAGCACTGTCTCTGGCTATGGAGAATTTCCTGGATCTTCTAGACTATACACTATGCAGGGCAGTCTCTTCCCCATAGTGGGAGTCACATGAGGCAGTGGTTGCTACAAGTTCCGGGACTATAGGCAAGTCACTGAATCTTTCCAACTCCTAATTGTAGATGACCAGAATGATCTGTCCCATTGTATCGTGTTCTGCTTTTCAAGGCCTTTCCTAGAGATGACTTTGCTTTTAGTCCCTGTGACCTTGGCTCCTGTGTACTCGTCCTGTGTGGAAGCTCTGAGCATGAGTGCAAGGGTGTGGGGGCTGTGGTACCTCTGAGTCAGACTTGGCCAGGCTGGAAGCCAATCAGACAGCCTAGAAGCGGGCTGCCTCAACAAAGTGTGTGTGCTTACACTGGTATCATGTTTTCCGGTGTTTGGCTCTTAATATGCTTTGCTGGATGAGCTCAGTAAATCATGCAGTCCTAAAGAAGTGGTGCTGTTGCTGTTTCTATTCTATGTGGCCTGGAGGGGGTGGCAGTTGGGAGGGAACATCAGGTCTCTGGTTCCTTAATCACTCTGTCGCCCTGCCAGTCTCGGATAGATTAAGAATTCAGAATGGAGAGACTGAGGTGAGTGACTCATTTTGCCTCTGTTGGGTTAGCACTGGCATCTGAGCCAAGCAGGGTGGGGCCCGCTGTATCTCTTGTTAGCAACAGTGACTGAGGGTTTTACCTGTCTCAGTGGAGAGTTGGTTATCTTCAGTCCCAGTGTTATAGATCTGAATTGTGTGCCCTTACAAACCATCTGTAGAAGAAGGTCCTGGAGTCTGGGGCTTACCTTGAGGGGGACTTCAGGGGTGTGATGAGTCTCAGTGCTGGCCATTGTCTGATCCAGGCGTTTTGTTAAGAGACTTGCCCTGAATTACACTGGGGCCCACTAGGAAAAGTTTTGAGATGTTGATTTGGATGTTGTTGCCTGAATTCCTTTTCTCCCTTTCATTATCGCAGGTGGAGGAAACCAAGCTTTCTGTCTCTCAGGAGCTACCTCAGAATGTAAATGTCCCCCAAACCACAGCTCTTTGCTCAGGACATGATGCTGATACCGAAGAAGATCCATCCCCAGTTGATTTGCCCTGGGGGCTGGGCCTTAGCCAGCAGCCTCCCCTCTCAGGTTTTCCTCCTCTGTCACGGTGGAAGTCCATGGCGAGCCCGAGCGCCCCTCACTTCTCCAGCAGAAGTGTCTCTGCCTCCTCCACAGGCAGCAGTCTCCAAGGTCACCAAGACAAGGTGGATCCTCAAAGTGGCTCCTTTGCCAAGGTTGCCTCCCTGGAGCTGGTTGTGCCCCAGGGAGGCCCCTCTGTAGTGGTGCCAGGGTCTCAGTTTCAGTGGTCACAGCCTGTAGCCTCTGGGAATGATGCTGTTGGCCAGGGCAGGAGGCACCTCTCCTTCCAGGCCGAGTACTGGGCCTGTGTACTGCCAGATTCCCTGCCTCCTTCTCCTGACCGCCACTCCCCACTTTGGAATCCAAATAAAGAATACGAAGACCTGCTGGACTATACTTACCCACTGAGGCCTGGGCCTCAGCTCCCAAAGCAACTTGACAGCCATGTGCTACAAGACTCAGGTGTAGACCTGGACAGCTTCTCTGTCTCGCCAGCAAGCACCCTCAAGTCACCCACTAATGCCTCCCCTAATTACTTAGCAGCAGAGGCACCTGCCCTGCCATTTTCTGGCCCCAGAGAGTCAAGCCTTAAGCAGTGGCCCTCTAGAATATCCCAGAAGCAAGACAGCATGGGCCTGGCATCTTGGAACCAGCTTGCATCAACACCTAGAACCCCATGCAATAGGGATGCTCTGTGGGAGAGCAGAGCTGCAGCTCTGAGAGGTGCAAAGAACTGTCTACCTATGGACAAGCACCTGGAGGTGGGCTCTCCCCAGCTGAACACAAGAGACAGAGGGCAGCCCTCATCCAAGCCAGAGAGGGAGAAGAGAGCCAGTCAGAGTGTCCGCCACCCTGCTTGCAAAGAGTCTGGATGGAAGTCAGAAGAGGAAGTAGAGAGTGATGATGAATATCTTGCCTTGCCTGCTAGGCTGACACAGGTTTCTAGTTTGGTTTCCTACTTAAGTGCATTTCCCACCTTGGTAACCCTGCCCACTGGGGCTGCCAAGAGACAGAGTTCTCTAGAAGTATCTGACAGTGGTGGGCCTGCTTCCCCCGCATCAGACTCCAGCCGAAGCCAGCTTCCCTATGGGTCTGCCTTCCAAGGGTCTGGTATCCCTGAGTGCCAGAACCCCGGCGTCTTGCGCTCCATTGTCCACAACCAGGACTCTACAGGGAGGGGCAGTCTAATGAGCAACCAGGCCCTTAGAGTCTCCTCTGGACTGCTGAAGACACATGCCTCATTGCAGGCCATGTCAGACAGGTGGCCATTCTCAGACACAGATGTTGGAGGGCAGCTTCCCAGGACATCTGAAGAGCAAGAGAAAGCCTCGCTTGTGCAGTGTGTGCAGGTAAAGACTCAGAATGGAGGGGCTGGGAAGGTGGCTCAGTGGTAGAGCGCTTGCCTTGCATGCATGAGGCCCTGGGTTCCATTCCTCAGCACCACATAAGCAAAAAGAATAAAGCCAGAAGTGGCGCTGTGGCTCAAGTGGTAGAGCACTAGCCTTGAGCTGAAGAGCTGAGGGACAGTGCCATGCCCAGAGTTCAGGCCCCACGACTGGACCCCCCCAAAAAAAGACTCAGAATGGAGAGACTTTGCCCCTCTTCTTCCCACAGTCTGCTCTCAGCACTGTTTGACTGGCTGATGTTGACTGAGCACTTTTTGTTCTGTCGAGCACTGTGCTATTCCCTGTCTTAGTCCTCACCACTCTGTTAGGAGGAAAAAGATAGCATAAGTGACTTACTACTTCAGCTAGCATCAGTCAGCACTGGTGGATTCTGTAGAGCCTGAGCTTTATCCACTAGTCCTGGCTACTGCCCACCTGAGGGTAGTGTATGTGTAGAAGCCTTCGGGAAACACCGGGCTATTAAAAGTGGCTCTCCCCACTACAGCACTTCATTTGCCAGTGATGTAACTGGAAAGTTTGCATGAAAACACTAGACTTTCTGACCCACCAAAAAATCTTTTGTGGGCAACCTGTTAGTTATCTAGAGATAAAATTGGCTGGAATTGAGTTGCCAGATTGGGTTTGCTTCTGGAATTTTGGCTTGATGTATTGAATTTGTTAATTTAAGGTGTAGCTCTGCCTCTTGGGGATGTTGTATAGATTGGAATCGTTGGTTGTCAGGATTTTGTATCATCCCTGACACTGAATGAGGGTTCTCCTAGGAGTGTGCCTGACCTCTGTCCCATCGTCCTACCTTCCTTCTGAGCTGCAGGAATTCACACTGTTGCCTGGCTGATGGCTTGAAGGCCCCATGCTACTGAAGAAATACTTTCTTAGCATTCAGAGAGGACATTGGCTTGTCAAGAAGTGACATTGTGGGGCTGGGAAGGTGGCTCAGTGGTAGAACGCTTGCCTTGCATGCCAGAGGCCCTGGGTTCGATTCCTCAGCACCACATAAGCAAAAAGAAAAAAGCCGGAAGTGGCGCTGTGGCAAAAAAAAAAGTGACCAACATTATTACACACCATTCTTTTATGATAAAAGATACAAATACCATGATGAAGTAAAGTTGTTATCAACTTTGAAATTAGTCTTGATTTAGTCTTTTTGTTTGTTTTGTTTGTTGGTCATGGGGCTTGAACTCTGGGGCTGAGCACTGTCCCTCAGTTCTTCAGCTCAAGGTTAGTGCTCTACCACTTGAGCCACAGCACCACTTCCAGTTTTCTGATAGTTTCACAGTCTTTCCTGCCCGGGCTGGCTTTGAGCCTGGATCCTCAGATCTCAGACTCCTTAGTAGTTCGGATTACAGGCGTGAGCCACCAGTGCCCAGCTTTAGTCATTTATTTTGTGTTTAATGTTTCCTGATGGTTGGCAATGTTGGTGATGCAAGAATTGGTTTCCATGGCATGTCTGCCTCTTCTGGTTTGTTTCTTGTGTTCCTTCCCAGCTCCACTCCACCCGTGGGGCTAATGTTCTAAACTTGTCATTTTGGGTACCTCATTGGGCTCAGGGGAGTTGGAACCACCTGGGGCTTTAATGAAAAGCCTAGTTGGGGGAGGCTTGGCTTTAAAGGATTATGTGTTAGGAGTGAGACAGACTAGTATTACCCTGAGGGAAAACTCTGGAAAAGTATATCTGCTGGAATCCTTTTGGTATTCTTAGCTTTCTGATAATATGAGCAGCAGTTTGGTCAGTGATACCACATCTTATTTGTCTCCTCAGATGTTTTGCTGTCAGCTTGAAGAGCTGATCTGCTGGCTGTATAATGTCCCAGATGTTGCCGACCTTGAAACTCCACCAAGGTCCAGTCTTAGCGAGCTCAAGTCTTCTCTGCAGCTATACCGGGTAATTAACATGGTCCTGGCTTCTGGTTTGTTCACTCACAGAATGGTGGCTAAATTAATAACTGGAAAATAAAATCTCAAATAACAGATTCCTAGAATGTTGTAGTTCAATTGTTTTTACCTGAAATCTGATCAGAGGCCCTTTTTAAATTAATATAGCGAATCAAAACTAGTGATTTACATTATAATTTTTCAAATGTCTCAGGATTTATAATTTTAGACCTGAGTTATTATCATAGAGCCACTAGTTACTTATGAATATCTTAAGTAAAATTAAAGACCAGAACTTTTCAGATGCATTAACTACAGTCCAGTGCTGAGTTGCTATCCCATTGTCCACTGAAACACTGAGCAATACAAATAAAAGTTCTGTTGGATACTGCTGGTGTTTGACAATTTGAGCTGAAATTGTTCCCAGGGTATACAATGGACCACATTTAAACCAAAACCTTACATCATTTTGCTTTGTTGTGTGAGGGAAAGGCTTGGGTTTGTGTTTGGGATTTTTCACCTCCTTTTCATGAAGATTCTGTTATTGTTTTTCTAAACACCTCTTTTATGGGTTTGGGTTAACTTGATCCTAGATTCAGTATATTGAATTGGACAGTAAGTCAAGCAGTTAGTACCCATGAAAATAGTTATTAACCTTGGCTGACTTCTATAAAGTCTGGCAGGGCAAGTCTTTGTAACCTCTTTCTGAGGAGCAGAGGGGTTTTTGGAGTCTAGGCCTGATGCTAGTTTGGAATGGGTTTTCTAGGACAGTGTTTTTGAATTTCTACATTGTAACCAAATCCAGTCTTCAGAAAAGAGTGTGATTTACATGTATGAGCCAGTATTTTTTCTGCCCCCACACACTCCAAGTCTCCCTGGACTACACCCTTCCTGAAAAGAGGGCCTATGTTTCCCATTTTGGAACCAATTAAAAATCTTGGGCTCGGGCCAGAAGGCCAACTGCTCCTCCCTAGTAGGAATGCTGTTTGCTCTTTTTGGAGAGGTTGCTGTGAGTTCCTCCCCCAGTGTGAGTCTGAGGAAGGGGAGGAAGACGGTTGGGGGTCCTCTGCAAACCCTGTGTGTACATGCACCCTGTTCAGGACCAGTCTCTGCATGCCCAAGGGCCAATTCCACACAACAGAAGTTGCCCTGTTAAGATTTTTCAGTGGCTTTTCTTGGCATAGGAAATGCAAATAAACTAACTCCAGATTCTCCATTTCATCCTTTATACCTTCTTCTGTGACTCAATATACATGCCATCCAGAATCAGCCATCTTGCTTTGTGGCTAGAGTTAGCATCTGAACAGGAGTTGCTCCTGCACATCCAGTGAGGCCTAGACCTCACTGACATAGTTGGTGACAACTATGTCACCAATACAACTATGTGACAGTGGCAATACACACCATCCCCTCACAGAGTGGTATGCTGTTCATGCATATGTATGAGCTGCTGACTCTTGCTTAGGTCAAGACCTGATATAAGCAAGTGTAAGCTAACAGATTCAGCTGCAACTTCTTTCGAATATACGGTGGAGTTGAAGTAGCATCTAAACTAGAGTACCTGAAAATAAAAATAAGACTGAATGCCGGAAAACTGTAAAACCCAATCATAAAATCAAACTCAAAATGTTAAGCTGTTCCCTCCCTTCTTAGGAGCAAAGGGAAGAACAGAATCAATCTATTACAGGGCTTGGTGGAATTTCTAAGGACAGATGAGAGACTGAAGTCTGCCCATCCCCTGTGGCCACTCTTAAGAGCAGATTACTTGTGGTTTTCACCTATCAGGTCTGTTCCACTAGAGTATAATTTATTTTGGCAATCCATACCTCTGAGTAAAGGACAACCCCAAAGGTGGGGCATAGAAAGGAATTTTCAACTCCAAGCTGGGCTGCTCCTAAGCCAGCCTCTGCTGGAGAAAAGGGCAGTTGTCAAACTGAACAACAACCAAAAAAACTCCACTAGGCTTAAAGCAGCCAAAGTTAAACCAATACCCTATTTGAGGAGTTCTACGGATCATCTGATGTGTATCCTCTGTAAGAATAAGCTAACCTTCACATTACTTCACATTTACAAAACAATAGTAATGACGCTGTTTTCTTTTCTTTTCCTGGATACATCTTAAGCAATTTAAAAAAGATGTAGATGAACATCAATCCTTGACAGAGAATGTCTTGCAGAAGGGTGAAATTCTTCTTCAGTGCCTGTTGGATAACACCCCAGGTGAGATGCCTACAGGCTTTTTAATATACTTTGATTGGAACATAATTGTACATGGTATGGGGGTCCACTGTGGCATCTTAATGTGTACAGCATGTGATGACCAGACCAGAGTAATTAGCTTAAAAACTTGGTGTTGGGAACCTTCACGGTCCTTTATTTTGGTGGTCCTGGGGCTTGAACTCAGCACTGTTCCCGAGCCTCTTTGTCCTCAAGGCTAGCACTCTACCACTTGAGCCATAGTGCCACTTTGGCTTTTTTTTTTTTGAGTAGTTTATTGGAGAGTCTCATATAGCCTTTCCTGCCTGGGCTGGCTTCAGACTGCAATCCTCAGATCTCAGCCTCCTGAGTAGCTAGGATTACAGGTGTGAGCCACAGGTACTGGCTTCTTCACAGTCCTTTCTACCAGTATTTGGAAACATACAAATAATTATTACCATCATCATATCCTTCTGGGCTGTAGATTAAAAGTTGAGCTAAGTATAACTCAGTGGTCTAGGTTTGATCCATAGCACCACACCAAAAAAAACAAACAAAAAAGTTACTCCTCCATTAACTTCCGTTTTCATCACCCCTCACACATCTGTCAAATCAACTTTTTAGCTTCCATGTGTAACAACACATAGAATGTTTTTCGTTGCCTGACTTATTTTACTTAACATGTCTTTTAGTTCTGTCCATGTTGCAAATGACAGGATTCCATACTTCATAGTCAAATTTTCATTGTTTATCATCAAACAACTAGATTGCTCCTATATCTTTGCTATCAATAAATACAGGAGTACAAATACCATATTCATTTCTCTTTCCTTGGCTATCTACTAATGATGCTGGGTCAAATAGCAATAATATTTTCTAAGTTTTTTTAAGAAACCTCCATTCTGTTTCTATATAGTTGTTTACATTCCCACCAACAGTGTAAGAGTTTCCCTTTCTCTGCATCCTCACTATGACTTTATTTTTCATGTTTTGCATATTAGTCATGCAGCTGGAATGAAATGTCTGACTTTGATACATATTTCCCTCAAGGTTAAAATTAAACATTTTTTCCATGTCTTGGCCAGTTTTGTATCTTCTTTGGAGAAATAACTGCTCAAATCGTTTGCCTGTTTTTTTATTCAGACTTTTTTGGTTTTTTTCTGTCATTGTTTGGATTTATTATATATCATCAGATTTAATCCTTTTTTGGATCAACAGTTTATATTTTCCCCCATTTGCTGCTGCTGTTCCATTGCTGTGCAGGAGTTTCAATTTGAGTACTTCCATTTTGTCAATCACTGATTTTGTTGCATATAGAAAGTATTTTTGTTGAGAGCAATGTCCTGAAGCATTCCCCATTTTCTTCTACTGAAGATCCAGTTTTCTCAACCCCATTTATTTAAGATTTTCTTTTCTCCAGTGCATGTTCATGCTGCCTTTGTCAAGTCAGTTGACCATAGATGTGTGGATTTCTGGGTTCTTTCTCCTATTCCAGTATTATGTGTTTGGGTGTTAGGGGTTGAACCCAGGGGTCTGTACATACTAGGCACATTCTCTACCAGAGCTCTGTGTGTCCCCAGCCCAGCTGGGGACACCTATGGTTTTGAACCTAACCAGAGCTTAATCTTTAACTTTCAGCAGCAGACTAGGAATCCACATTGTCTCCTCCTGAACCCATTCCTCAAGTCCAGTGGATAATCTACTATGGGACAGTTGCAAGCATAAAAATTTAAGCCTATCATTAGTCACCAAGCCATGCCTGTAATAACTCTTGTTTTCTTCCTGGACAGTTGTGGTGGGAATCTTGGCAGTAAGACTGCAGTCCTCATTTGTGGCTGGGATACTCAGTAGACAGCCCTCAGGGGACCCCTGTCTTTGCACAGGTTGAAATATGTTTATCTGCTTTGTGTTTCTACTTTGGGACAGAATTTTAGAAAAGCATTGTATTGATCAAAAAAGGCCTGATGAAGTAAAACTGAAGGGGACAGGGTAGCAATGGCACACAAACCAAACTCAGGCCATTTTGCAGGATGGATTCTCAATTTAAGAAGAAAAATAACTAGTCTATGACTAAAGTGCCCGGTGCCAAAGGACTATGTTCAACATGGTTCCTATTGGGGAAGGTATGCTATGACAAGGTAAGGTTAAAGCAAAAGCAATGAACAGCTTTAACAGCCCAACAGCAGCCCCTGAGGTCCTGTAAGGTTGGTTTAGCTAGTGCTTAAGGAGCTGGGTTCTATTATACCTCAGTTACGGAATGAGGTGGGATTATGCTGCTGTCCAACAGTGTAAGCACTGCTAAGTGATGATATGGGGAGGCCTTGAAAGGCAGGCGCTTTCCATAACCGTGGTGCATGGGTTAAGTACTAGGAAGAAGAAAAAGGAACAAGATGTTTCAGCCCAGGCACCACTGCCATACAAGGATGTGCAGTTCTTGTTAAATGTATGGCAGTTTGATTATACCCATGGCCCCATTAGATACCAGTAAGAAACCTTTATATCCCCACAGTCATCCTTGTGACAACCCAAAGGGTTTAAGAGTTTCTAGACATTGCCAGTTGTGCTCTGAAAGATGCTGTGAATATTTACACAGGGGTGTTTTTTTTTGGTCTTTGGTCAGTAGTGGGGCTTGAACTTGGGGCCTGGGCTGTGTCTACCACCTGAGCCATAGCACCACTCCCAGCTTTTGAGTGGTTCAGTGAGCTACTGGCACCTGGCCACACGAGGGTTTTGATTGAAAGCAACCAATGAAGGATTTTTAGCAGGGGAGTAACTGTCTTAATGTGAATTATGTATGCCTTTTACAGTCCGCTGCCCTCTAGAGGCCTTCGTTTTCCTCCTCGGGTTCTCTGCACTAGGATTTTCAAGTTTTATGTTGGGACAGAAATTCAGTATGCTAAACTCTTAGTTAACTGCACTAGCATTTGGCTGAAGAAGTTAGCATATCAGCCTTTTTTTTTCATTAATCCTAGTTCTGTGAAATATATAACTATTAATAATCTTTTTCTTTTTTCTTTTGCCGGTCCTGGGCCTTGAACACTGGGCCTGAGTGTTACCCCTCAGCACTTCAGCTGAAGGCAAACATTATCACTTGAGCCACAGCACCACTTCCAGTTTTCTGGTGGTTAGTTGGAGATAAGAATCTCGCCGACAGCAGGATACTGGTGGCTCAACAAGCCTGTTATCCTAGCTACTCTGGAGACTGAGATCTGAGGATCGCGGTTCAAAGCCAGGCCCAGCCGTGACAATTGTATCTCCAATAAACCACTCAGAAAACTGGAAGTGACACTGTGGCTCAAGTGATAGAGTGCTAGCCTTGAGCTAAAGAGCTCAGGGACAACGCCCAGGCCCAGAGTTGAAGCCCCACAACCAACAACAACAACAAAAAAAAAGTCTCACAGACTTTCCTGCCCAGGCTAGCTTTGAACTGTAATCCTCAGATCTCAGTCTCCTGAGTAGCTAGGATTATAGATTGAGCCACCAGGGCCCAGCTTAGGTAACTATTATTACCCTTATCTCACTGAGTGGGGAATTTGTCACACATAGCCTTTGGCTCCCCACTGCTATTGGTATCAAGAAGGAAGAGCTCAAATCCAAGAACCCTCTTTGCTCAGAAGCCACGTATAATAGGCGGCCTCTTCAAAGTTACAATTTTGACCTTAAAATGAATCCAGTAATACTTTTCAGAGCCTAACCTATAATAACATTACACTTTGCCCTGCTCAAAGGAATTGAGGGAGGCGGGGTGCTGGCCAGACAGGCTTTCAGAGGTACAGAGGCCTCTCCTGTCTTCTGCCTGGAGTCATCAGAACACTTAGCTGTTGTTGGAAAAATCATAAGTTCCTCTTGACACTTCACACTTTGTTCCCCCAGGAGTAGTGTCCTACAAGAGGAGAGCCAGTATGTACTCCATAGGCTCTTCGGAGCTGCTTTGTTCTATGCTATGTGACATGCCTATTTGCCCTCCAACTCCTTCTCCACGTTTCTTCACATTTTGTACCACAGTTGGCCCACAGTACAGGCTAACAGTTCTGTCTTGCACTATAAATCCTTATTATATGGGTCAGATGACTATGTACATATTTGAATATAAAACACAAAAGTCACTGTGAACAGTTGTATTTCATTCTGCTTCCTAAGTCCCTCTTTTCTTGGCCCCTATAGCCAAAGTCCAAATGAAAAAGGTCCACTTAATTCCCTGACAACACCAGAGGATGAGCAGAGCCTAGCCGAGCCTCCCGGATGGCAAAGCTTCACTGTGTTCTTGGACTCCATTCCTCTGCCAGGCCAGCTCTCTTGAGCTGTCAGGACAGAACTTTGCCCTGATGACTAGGAGCTGATGTGGCTTCCTAGGGGCTGATCTCAACAACCCAGTGATGCTTCTCCTCGCACCCATCTAGTCAGCATTATCTGCAGATCCACAGCTTCCCCTTTCCCTTCTTTTGTTGGCAGATGTTGCAGCTGTGGCAGGAAACTAGGGAGTGTGTTAAAACAGCTGATAAAGGCACCAGGAATAAGGCAGCCTTTGTTAGTTTAACAAGTCTTTAAAAAAGCAAGCCTGCTGTCTAAGAGCGCTCTAACTCACAGGAACTTTCTGGTACTATAGGAGGGTTCTTAGCTTGTTCTCACATCATTTTTAGTGGACATAGAGAACCCACAGAAGGGGGTCCAGACCACTTGTGTGATGTCAGCTCCCCTAGCCTACAGACATTACGAACTGATGGCAGGGATTCTGAGCATAATTTGAGCCTTACACCTAACAGCAGGAGTTAAGTGTGCCCTATCTCATCTCATACTGGCAGATAATACCTGACAACTATGGTATGACCTTACTATCATTTATGTGATCCCAAAGTGGAATCAATGGATTATTCTTAGAGCCTTATCAGAAGTTGGTAACTAGCTACATAGGAAATATAGGTATGAGGACCACAGTCTTAAGGCTGACCCCAGGCAAAAAGTTCTGAGATTCTACTTGGAAAAAAAGTAACAAGCAAAAGAGCGGGGAGCATGACTCAAGCAGTCGCCATCAGTTGAAATCCTAGTGTCATCAAAACAAGTTTGGGGGTGGGAATGTGGCTTAGTGGTAGAGTGCTTGCCTAACATGCATGAAGTCCTGCTTCTATTTCTCAGTAGCACATAAACAGAAAAGGTTGGAAGTCGCACTGTGGCTCAAGGGGTGGAATGCTAGCCTTGAGCAGAGAGGACTCAAGGACAGTGCCCAGGCCCTGAGTTCAAGCTCCAGGACCAGCAAAAAAAAAGAAAGAAAAAAAAGAAGTTTGTAACATTGGTTTTCTAGTGCAACTTTAGCCCCTTAAAACAAAAGTGATACTGGAATCAAGAGTCATAATTTTGAGCTGAAAGCTGTACCTTTTTATAACTTTTTTAGTTTTAAAGGATGTCCTTGGGAGGATTTCAAAGCAGTCTGATGAACTGGAAAGCCATGCAGATCACCTTTATGACTCTATCTTAACATCTCTGGACATGCTGGCTGGATGTACTCTCATCCCTGACAATAAGCCAGTGGCAGCAAAGGAACGGCCATGTGAAGGGGTTTAACATGGTAAGTTGAGAAACCCAAGACCATCTGCCCTCCAGTGATTAGGGCATAAAGTGCCTTCTGTTTCTGTAAGTTACTTTTTAGAAGCATGTTGAACCAAGGGAAGCTGGAGAGGGACTGCCCATACTACTGAAAATTGCCAGGAAGGTTGATTATAAAAACTCACTTTGGTACCTTCATTACTTGGTTTTACCTCTGCAAACACACTCTCCCATTTCTACTGCATCCTCTTCACCTCTACTACCACTACCCACAATTAGCAGCAAAACTTTATTTGTGCTTTCATGTGTGGGACTGTGATCAGGTTTCCTGTCCGTCGGGCTCTCCTCACCCAGCTTGTTGGCTATTCTCTGTATGTCTGACAGCACAAATGATGGCAGAAATGCAGTTAATGCCAACTCTCCCTGCCCCCCCTTCTCTGCACATTTCCTGTACCACTTCCTTCCCCAAAGAGCCAGGGAACAAATACGGATAACGTCTTTGAGACTTAACATATCACACAGCTTTTTTCTTATACCCTCAGAAAGTCAAACACAAAGACAGGAAAGGGACTAAGGGATAGAAGTGCCACTGCCCACCACCAGTCCATAATACTGTACTTTCTCCTTCAGCAAAATGTTTATAATGTCTGACTCAGATTTTCTAGGTGAGAGTTCACTGTAGGTTTGTCAAGACCAAGGAATCCTTGTGTTTCCATTAAAACAATTTAAGTAGATCTAAAATGGGTGTTGATTGCTGTTGCCATTTCTTCCTCTGCAACAAATGCTTCTTTGTCTTTCAGGTGAAAACTTTCAGGTGAAAAAGCCAAAAATTGGCTTTGGGAAGAAAACATTCAAGAAGTCCTTGCAAGAGCCAATAATAATTGGCAAGGGGAAAACTAATGTGTCAACTTTAAAAATCCCTTTCTCTTCTCTGAAGCAAGGGCTATTGAATGATTTTTATTTATAATGAATCTTTCCCAAACTAAGGTTTTCCTTTTGGTGCTTCTCTACCAAAAGCATGTGGCTTTGCTATTATGTTTTTTATATATAAAATTTAATAAGACAGGATCTTGCTTTCCCCTCTATTCTGTAAAAAATTGGAGACAATTGTTCTTAAACTATTCCACTTGCTGAGAGCATTTACTGAAGGCTGGTCTAAGAAAGTTCACCTTACTAGGTATTCTCAGGAATGAATAGAAGGGAGTCCAAGAGAGGAGGGAAGCCCTAAGAGTGAAACCTTAGGTCTTTATGAAAGGGAGACAGGTTTGTGAATTCTGCTTTGAATAGAACAGCATAACAATCAGAAGAGAACATAACCTTTAATCTGCAGAAGAGATGGAGCGTATCAAAGAACCCCTAAAGAATATTTTGGGCATAACATCTTTTGCTATCTTCAGGATTTAGTTTTTCACCTTTGTGTTTAAATAATATCTAAAAAAAAGAAAAAAGTCAGGGAGTTGGAAGAGACCTGCCACTGTGCTTTAGTATGTCTGTGGGGCTAATTAGTGTAAGGAATCTCTGGGATGATTCATCCCTTCATTCCTACTTTCCTTTGGAAAACTTGCCCAAAGTTAAAGAAAGGAATAGGTTCATGACAGAAAAAAAAGAAATTCTTTGTTGCTCAAGAGCTAACGTAAGTCAGGGAAAAAAATCACATTAGATGAACCATTTAAAGTATCCATTATATATTTAAAAAAAATACATCTAGCAGTTACTGATAGTAATTGAAGAGTCTGCAAAAAAAAAAAAAGCACTTTAAAGTTCTTGGGGAGGGATGTCTTTGAATATCAAAGACAGAAACACAATGCATTAAAAATAGGACCTAAAGCCCAATTAAGTGAGATTTTTATGTTACAAGTTTTCAGACTTTATCTTCTTTAGAAAAATAGCTGTTATATTATTTAATAATTAGCTACTCAATAGCAGCAACACAAAATACAGTATTTAATGTGGCTGCTGTTACTGTGTGACTTGAGAGGTTTACCATGTCTAGGGGCACAATCAGAATTAAACCACTTTGTGACTACCATCTCTGAAAGACACTTTGCTAGCAAATAAACATCAATCATCAATATATGTAAAACATTTTAAAAACCTAGAACGAGTGGGAAAAAATTTTTACATTCACCTTTTGTGACTATAAATTAGAACATGCAGGCTGGGAAGGTGGCTCAGTGGTAGAGCGCTTGCCTTGCATGCATGAGGCCCTGGGTTCCATTCCTCAGCACCACATAAGCAAAAAGAAAAAGGCCAGAAGTGGCGCTGTGGCTCAAGTGGTAGAGCGCTAGCCTTGATCTGAAGAGCTGAGGGACAGCGCCCAGGCCCAGAGATCAGGCCCCACGACTGGACCCAAAAAATAAATTTTAAAAAAATTTAAAAAAAAAATTGGAACATGCCTGTTGACTGTTATAAGCACAGCCCATCAGAAATAAACCCATACACACTAACATGTGGCAGGCATAAAAATCAGTCTGCATTTGTCCATGTAAGGATTTTTAAAACGGGCCAATATTACACCAAGTGAATGCAGAATGTGTTGCTCCCATTAGGTGGATAAATTAGCTTCAGCAGTGAAAATTTCTGTTAAGACTTTTCAGACTATTTTCAAATACTGGCTTTCCTAAGAAAGTGGTACTAGCAAAGTCTTCAGCTCCCATTTGTTTCTTGTTTGTTTCTCCTGGCTTTATCCCTGTTATGTTTAAATAAATCCTTACTAAAACTTTAAAAAGTGGTACTTTATTGGGTTTGTTCATCTTTGAAATACAAAGGTTGCTAACTCTGAACCTGGCTATGGATGCTATATAGGAGTACCAACTCAACTGAATTTTTTTCCACCCAGGAAGATAGTTGCCGGCTGTATTTCCATGAGCATACATAGCCAGGCTTGTTGGTATCCCTTAAAATTCCGTATCCATGGTGATAAAAATAGACTAGGTTGGCAGTTTCAAGACTGGGTTCTTGTGGATTCATGGCCTCTACTCCAACCATGAGAGACTTACAGTACTAGTAAACTATAATGATAGTACTATAATACTACTGTAATATTGCTTTTACAATATAGTAATAGTACTGTAATAAATGTTTTGAAACTTACAAATGGGGGGGCTGGGAAGGTGGCTCAGTGGTAGAGTGCTTGCCTTGCATGCCAGAGGCCCTGGGTTCCATTCCTCAGCACCACATAAGCAAAAAGAAAAAGGCCAGAAGTGGCACTGTGGCTCAAGTGGTAGAGCGCTAGCCTTGAACTGAAGAGCTGAGGGACAGCGCCCAGGCCCAGAGTTCAGGCCCCACGACCGGACCCAAAAAAAGAATAAAAGAAACTTACAAATGGGAACAAAAAATGGTTGACCAAAAAACAGTTAGTACAAGATAAGCTGGAACATCAATTCTATGTGCTAAAGAGGATTTTTATCTAAGGCCAAAACACAGAATGTTGCTGGTCACACCATATTACAGTTATCATTCTATAAGGATTTCCCAGAGTTTGCCACTTAGAAAATGCTTCATTAGGAAAGTTACTTTATGTTAGCCACTTAAAACATAAGTGAAAAGGTTAATTTAAAAGCCCCTAGTAGCCTTGGAATGTTTGTACTTGGAAATTGTGCTAGAAATTGGAATATATTTTTTCCAAAAAGCCAACAGTGAAACGTTACTAGGTTGTGGTTGAGACTATCATGGAGCAAAGAACACGAATTTTCCAAATGCCTGTAAATATATAATGTTAAATTCATGTATTTTCTTGATAACTCACCAAGCAAGCATCAAGCAAAGCAGATCAGACCAGTTGAACTCTTGCTGTATGAAACTAAGTCCATGGCATCACACTAATATTTGTTTTGTATCATTTACCTATATTTTAGAAAACAGTTCTGAGCTTTTTCTTCCATTATACTGTATTAAGACAAAAACAAACCATAGCAAAACCTTTTAAAACATTAAAGATATTCACCCAAATAACTGTTGTTACCTTTAGGAATTTTTCACTTACTTTATGTAAGGATGAATAGATCCAACAAGCACATCTATAATACAAAGTAAACTATGATTTTATTGTGAAATTCTCATAGATGGAAAATTAAATTGAATATTTATTCTGTCCATTTCATTTTACAATAATCTTACCACTTATTTTTGTACCATGTATTTCAGTTGCCTGTTGCGTGAAAAATAAAGAAACTTGTAATTTTTGGCTTTTTTTAACTTAATCTAAAGACCCCATAGTAAGATGTGTTGCCAACAGCCACATCTTAAGCCCCCATTGAAGAATGTTTTGGCTGCTACATATCTAAGGAAACAAACCTTGATCTCTGTCCCTTAAAATGTTAATGTGGGCAAAATGTCCTGTTTGCACAGTAAAAATAAAGACCCTAGATTTGAAGTTCCTATTTAACAGAATTTTTGCACATGCAAAAATTTCACTGTAGTAAATATATTTCTCTCATCATTCCCATCTAGCAATCATGTTTTCAGTTAATTTTTAGGGTAATCAAGTTTCCTGCTTTCTACTTCAATGGTTAAACTCTCCCAACATGAGTTATACACAACTGTGAAAGATGAAATAGTTGACATCTGATTCAGAGCATGGAACAAATATCAGCACATATTCACCTGATCATTTGCCAGTTAGGAAGGGTGTGCTGTTCTCCAACTCTACTGCAGATGAATTAAAGACATGTTGGTCAGTGAAGCCAATGGAGGATCAGAGATGGTAAGCATAAACTTGTTTTTCACACAACTTGGGCTCCTTGAACCACTATAGTTGGTTAAGTCCTTACACAGCACAGAAGGCTCCCCCTGGGTTATTTATCAGGTCTGTTATCTAGAAAGCACAGCATCCAGTAAATCTACAGTGCCTTGGTTGCACACAATAGTTGTTCTGATTATAATGCAAGGCTCTATTTCCCTTTAACCATGAGAATTAAAACAATACTTATCACCATACAGTTTGATATACTTCCAATAAGTACAATATTTATTAAACATATCTTCAGTTGTTTTGTTACATAGTGTGCAACAAATTACAGTATCTGCAGCCACAAATTATATGCAGAGTATGAAGAAACTATTAATCAGATAGTGTAATCTTTCCATTTATAACTCTACAAGGAAGAACTAGCAAATCAGATCTTACATAGAACATCTCACTAAACTTTATGCATGGAAAGTGACAGACACTGGTTGTGCTGTTTGATACAAAATGGCTGAACTTCATCTTCAGAAGACTAAACCTGACATCTAAACATGCCAATATAAACATCGAAACAAAATATATTCTAACCAACCACGGGAAACAGTCTGGTATCAGGAAAGCAACAAGGATTACACACATTATTTTATAAACCAGCACACAAAGGTTTAAAACAGTTCTGAAAATGAAGTTAGCTGTCTTGAGTCAAGGGAATAAAAAAAAAGTCAGTATTGACCATTTACAATCTCTGACCTTTGTGGAGACGGTAAGAATCTGTTGTAGTGCAGCTACATACAGTACAATTCAGGCAATTTGTTTTTTCACTTGGGTTCAGATTGTGAATTCATTGCTGTGAGAAAAAGATGGAGGCAAATTTTAGCAGCAACCTCCACCTGACTGCTTCACTGGAGTGCTCTGAATTTTAACATTGGACTTCTCTGCACCGCCAGCTGTTGCTCCAGGGCCCATTCGCTTTTTAATCTCTGCTGCCATCGTCATGAAAGACTGTTCTACATTCGTTGCATTCTTAGCACTGGTTTCCAAAAATGGGATTCCAAGGGAATCAGCAAATTCCTAGGAGAATGGTAAAAATAATGAATATTGGGAAATGATTTGCATTTAGTCCATTTCTGCCATTTGAAATGGGTATGAAGGAGGACTAAATTCACTGGATCCAGACACTACACAAACTTTAAGAGTTTTCCAAGTACACATATTTTAAAAAGGCAGTTTGTGGCCATCATATGACTCCATACCCTAATCAAAATTCAGACTGAAAATCAGACTTTCAACCTACCTTTGCTGTTGTGTAGTCTACTACTTTCTTAGTGGTCAGGTCACACTTGTTGCCTACCAACAACTTGTTGACGTTCTCACTGGCATAACGATCTATTTCTTGAAGCCACTGTTTGACATTATTGAATGACTCCTAAAAGGGAGACATTTTTAAGAATAATACAGTTCTGGACACAAATGCTTTATGGATCAAGTAATAAACAGTAGCAAAGAGTGAGTGAGGCAACTTCAGCTACGAATTATAGCACAAACTGATTTTGTAATATCAGAGGAAAATAGCTTAATATTAATGCCAAAGAGTCAGAGGCTGGCTTACCCCTGTAATCATAGCTATTAAGAAGGCTACGATAGGAAAATCATGGATCAAAGCTAACCAGGAAAGACGTCTGTATGACTTATCTCTAACTACCAAAAAGACAGAAGTGGAGCTGTAACTCAAGAGGTAGTGTCAGCCTTGAATGAAAAAGCAAAAGGATAGTACCCAGGCTCTGATTTCAAGCCCCAGTGCTACCAAAAAGAAAAAAAGAGTCTTGATTTCAAGATATGCAACTTAAATATACTTTAAGACCTAGAAAACTTGGCAGAATTTTGGTTTATAAATAATATAGCTTAAGTGTTATTATTGAACACGTCAAAAGATGTTACTTGGGCTGAGGCAGAGGGGCACATGTACCTCAATGGTAAATTGCCTGCCTACCATAGGGAAAGCCTTGGGTTTAATCCTA